GGAACAGGCCGGATCCGGCCAGTGGGCCGTAGTTTGCCCACGGCTGGTTTAGGTTCTATAATTGCAACATTGTTTCATCTGGAGCTCAGAGCTGAGCTGCGGCAGGCAGGGAATGTTGACTTCCTCCATTACTGGAGTAAGCAAGCCTCATGTTCATGTTCACTTCAGCTGCCTGGCTGCCAGCCACCATCTTGGCTGGCAGTTAATTTGCATATCTTGCTGATTAGCCAATGGGAAGGGTAGCAAAGTTATGGTTAACTACCATGTTTCTCTATTATTAGATAGGATATATTACAATTAATAAATGAATGAATGAAACACAATGGGAAGGGAATAGTGATGGTATTGAGGAAGGGGAAGCACTTGAGCATAGAGCTAAATGATGTGAAGGTGCAATAAATCATCTGAAATTTCTGAGTGAAAAGCAGTCCTAGCAGAAAAAATAAGTGTAGGAATGAGCTTGGCTTTATGTAGAAACACGAAGGAAGGCTGTGTGCCTGAAACAGCCAACTGTGTTGGAGAGATGAGACCAAGACTGTCAGCAACTGAATTACTTAGGACCTCATAAACCACTGTATTTGAATTTTATTCCAAGTGTGATGGGAAGCCACGGGAGAGAGCTTTAAGCAAGACTACCCAATCTGATTAAAACCACACCCTGGTTGCTATGTGACTAGGAGGTGATGGGGTGACGATGTGGATGCCACCTGCCCAATGAGTGGCAGGCTGTGTGGAAATCCACGCAAACGAAGAGAAAGGACGGGATTTGAATGGCATCAGTGGAGTGGGAAATGATATAAAATTTGAGATTGGAATGACAGGTTTTGCTTATGTTTGTGGTAGGGACATAAAAGGAAGAGAAGATTCAAAAGAAATGTCTACTTTGGCGCCGCAATCCGGAGTCCATTCAGGCACATTTATTTTTGTAGTTGGATGTATCATATTCCTGTTAAGTTCACTGCATAAAAGGATCCTTTGGGCAGCCAGCGGCTTAGTTGGGGAAGGTTAAGGGAGTCACATACAAAAAGGGAGAGTATCTTGAGGGAGAGCGATACTGCGCTCAGCTTTTGAAATGTTGGGCTGAAAAGATCTGCGGAGGTGGCCTGGGCAATGCCTCTTTTCCTCTATTATCATCGACACCCCATCCCCCCTACAATTGCAGGTCTGGAAACCTACTCGTCTCCATGACGTGAACTTCCAACGCGACCGGATCGTCCTCCCTACCGCGCACCTCGCAGGCGGCGGGGTCCCCGGAGATATAGCGGAATCGGGAGCCGTTCCCAGCAAGAACGCTGAGACCTCACCGGGAGCGCTCGTTTCGCGATTCCCCTCCATTCCTACAATTTCACTGTAGACAGCAACGCCGCGGTTTGCAAACTTCTCTCCCGCCCCCGGCCCGCCTGGCCCGTGGCCACGCCTCCTT